GCAGTGGTCCTGCACCCCCCGACTCAGGGGACGCCACGCAGTGGTCCTGCACCCCCCGACTCAGGGGACGCCACGCAGTGGTCCTGCACCCCCCGCGATCAGCTGTGGCTCACACCGCTGTAACCCACAGGCTCTCACTGGCTGGTTCTCAGACATCGATTGCCAGGCCTTTCTTCCTACTCTTAGTCTGGAAGCCTGCTGAAATCTGCTCAGCATCCTCGCAAGAGATAAGCCTCCCAACAGACTGCTGATGGCTGTGCCTGAGGTGCCTTGGCCAAGAATTGAACCCAGGTCTCCTTCATGGAAGGCAAGATTCTACCACAGAACCACCAATGCACCTTCCTCGTGACTTGTTATCGGGTGCCAACATGTCCATCCCGACTCCTGGCGAGTCCAGGTGACACAGCAGGACGCCCCGCTAGGGTTTCCTAGGCTGTCATCTTTACAGGACAGATCACTAGCTCTTTCTCCTGTAGAGCCACTGCATGGGTTTGAACAGCTGACCTTCTGGTTAGTGGCCAAGCACTTAGTGTTTCCGCCTAATCCTTCAAGTCTCAACGTGTTAAAAAACAAAACAACTCACTGACATAATCCCAGGTGGAGCTGGATGGGCCCCGAACCGCCCGAGTCAGAATTCAGACACATCCCGTGGCCACATCCTTGGGGGTCCAGCCATCATCCCTCGCTCCCTCCTTCCGCCTTCCCTGCTCTTTCCTGCCCCAGGCCCTTTGCACCTGCCATTCGCTCTGCTCAGAACACTGCTCTCCAGATCTCGACACGGCCACCTGTCACCACCCAGATTTCTGTCCCCAGAGACTGCCACTGCCCCGTCAGCTTTCCCCAGCCATAATGGTCCGGGTTCGCGGGCGCTGCCAGGCAGCAGCACTCACTGTGTGCGCAGGGTGAAGGCCGCACTCGTGATGGAGGTGGGCAGGTTGAGGCCCTTGGTGATCTCGCGCCACAGCTTCTTGTTGATGACCTCCACGAGGCCGCCCTTCTCCGTCACCAGCACGTACAGCATGAACAAGTCCAGCACCTGCTTGGCCATGATCGGGATGCGGTTCACAGGCGTCCCTGGAGTGGGGGACGAGGGTGCGTGAGGCCGGGGCTCACCTTACAGCAGCATCGACTGGTCAATGAACGGCCCGGGCCGGCCCGGCCCCTCCTCTGCAGTGGGATGTCCTGTGCACTGTAGCATGTTGCACAGTATCCGTGGTCTCACCCATGTGGTGACCGTAACACTCTCCCAACTTGTGAAAACCACAGATGTGCCCAGTTGTCACCATGTGTCCCCTGGGAACATGGGACCATCAGGGGTGAGATCTGCTGCTCAAGGGGGCACTGAAGAGGTGGCAGCCCTGCTGCTGCCCAGCTGGGGCCTTGCCCTCTGTGCCTCCATTTCCCCCGCTGTGATCTGGGTCCCCGACAGTGCCGTCTCATGGGCTGAGGCAGGAGGCACCCAGGCCTGGGATATCTGTCTGAACCCCCCCATCACCAACGACAGCTGCTGCTAAAGCAGCCCCCCTGAGCTCCCAGAGGCCGACCTTCCAGGCCCCAGGTGCCTAGCAACCTCGTGGGGGAGGGATGGTTAACCCACTCGGAAGCTTGGCGTATGAAGCGGGGGGGGGCTGGCCCAGAGAAGGAGGGAGATGGGTTAACCCCAAGAGGGAAGGCAGTGGGCTAGCCTGGGAAAGGGAGGGAGATGGGCTAGCCCAGGGAAGGAGGGTGGCAGGCCAACTGAAATCCTCGAGCTCTGACCCCATGTCCAGCCCCTGCCCCTGACTCTCACCTCCTCGGTACTTCTCTATGCCCCGATTCCTCGACACTCCTCAGCACCCCCTGACCTGCAGCCTTTGACCCACATTCACACCCCTCAACCGAGGCCCTCGGCCTTGACCCTAAACCCCAACTGTGACATTCCGGGTAATACGACCGCTGTTTCTCTTAGTCCCTCACGCTCATTTACACGGGTCGCAGTGCCCAGCAGCAGCCCCAAGAGGATGCCTGACTGCATCCCACCCCCAAGGCTCTGTGGCTAGAGGAGAGCCACGTGGGATGCTGAGCCCTCTGCTCTGAGACCCTGTTTCCTGGACCCAGAGCCCGGTGGCCCCTGCCCCGGGATCCTAAGTGAGCAGCCCCAGCCCAATCACATCTGGCCTCTTTCGGGCTGCAAAACTCCCAACAAATCTAACACCACCTGGGAAAGGAGGAAGATGAACTGTGGCCCCCCCAAGTGTCGGTCCCACACACAGCTGCAGCAATGGGCCCAAAGCACCCACCGTGGCCCCACGCAGGGCGCTTGTCTGCGGCTCTGCGCTGGGGAGTAGAGTGGCAGGAATTACACTGAGGGCTTCTCTGGGGCTTTGGGCACAGGGACGGATGTTTATAGAATGAGCCAGAGAGCGAGGCACTGATGGGGGACCAGGGCAGGATAAGGAAGGGTGGGGCTGTTGTCAAGGAAATGGCAGGGTCAGTGGGGAGGGGTGGGCGGGGTGCAGGCAGGACCCCTGCCCTCATTTCCAATCCCCGGAGACTTCTGAGGGAAATCTGGTGACACGGGGGGAAATGACTCTCCGTCTATCAGCAACAAACAAGGAGGGCTTGCGAGGTGCAGAACAGTGTCCAGGGTGAAGGGGAATAGGTCTTACAGACTCTCAGCCCCAGAGGATCCCAATTACAGAGGGAGAGGGTCCGACATGATGCCGGGGAAGAAGGAGCTTTGGAGCTGGGGTTTTGAGGCATGTGTAGGAGTTTGTTGGATCCTGCCCTCCAAGAGTGCTGGCTTGGTGAGGGAGGCAGGGGTGGATGGGCAAAGGCCTTTGAAGCTCAGTGTGGTCAGGGTCTGGACAGAAGCACCTGGGGCCCCTGTCTGGTCCTCACCCCCATAATTCCCTCTAGGATAAGGCACTGTGCTGGGCACTGGCCAAAATGGGCTGGCTCTGGGCAGGGGTTCAGGCAGGTGGACAGGATGATAAGGAGGGTAGGGAGAGGAGGCTTCGCAGGCCACATGAGGGGCAGCAGGCTCAGGCCAGGGCTGGGCTTGGACGATAACACAAAAGGGACCAGGCTGTCTGGATCCCTCTACCCCTGGCACAGGAGGGGTTAACCCGAGGCCGCTGGTCAGTGGGGGCTGGGGGCCCCCTCCCCTTTCATCTCCTTCCCTCTCAGCCGCCTGGCTGGGCTGTGTTTACAGAAGCTTCTGGCCAGAGGGAGGGGCTGGCGGAGGCCCTGGACAAAGCGAAGGCTGGGCCCCGAGTGCCCTGTGGGCCCTGCAGCCCTGGCCGCTCTCAGGCCCCGCCCCTTCCTGCCTCTGGGGGCCCGGAGGCCTCGTCTCCTTGGTGGGCCTCAGTTTCCTCCTCTGGAAATGGGGGACAATAATGACACTCTCTTCAAGGTGCCATCCAGAGCCGAAGGGATGGGTCTTCCCAGAGCTGCCTGGCAGCCCACTTCCCCGAGCCCCGCGGCCTCACCTCGCTTCTGCATGAAGCTGAACAAGTCGTCCAGGAACTCCTTCCTCTTGGGGTCCCCGTCGAGCTCGTAAAGCTGTGAGAGCGGAGGGGCAGGTCAGTGGTGCCAAGCTCGGGCACCCCGTCCCCACCACAGCAACGGACCCGTCCTGAGCCTTCTCCCACTACTCAGACGGGAACCCAGAGGCCAGAGGCGAGGACACTGCCCGCACAGAGAGGACAGGAGGTCTGAGCAGCCCCCAGGCCCCCACCCAGAGCCCCCGCCAGAGTCTAAATGCCTCCTGAGGCCCCACAGAAAGGACACTGAACCTGACCCCACTTTCAGATGAGGCCCCTGAGGTCCAGCGTCCTGGGACAGCTGTGACAATGTCCTGCACACCTGGGGGCTTTGCACCTCCCGGATTCACTCTCACAGCCTGGATCCGGGGTGTGGGCAGGGCTGTGCTCCCCCCACGGCTCCAGGGGACGTTCCTTCCTGTCTCTTCCATCTTCTGTGGCCCCAGGTGTCCTGGCTTGTGGCCGCATCCCTCCCCTCTGTCTCTCTCGTTACAAGGCCCTGTGCCCCGTGCGTGTCTTCACTTCTTACAAGGGCACTAGTCACTGGAGTTGGGGGCACCCCGTTCCAGCGTGACCTCCCACTAACTGCTGACATCTGCACAGACCCTATTACCAGGGTCACAGGCACCAGGGTTAGGACATCAGCATGTCATTTGGGGGACACAATCCACCCCCAGCAATGCCCCCAAGGTCACACAGCAGACAGCTGCCCTCGTGGCATGTGCCACCGAGTCACACACAAGTGCAGCTACTCCTGAGATGGCTGTGTGGCCGATGAAGAAACGGAGGCCCGGCGGCGGGAGCAAGCCCAACGCCAGGGCTGCTGGGGGCGCAGCCTAGGGCGCCGTTCCCCGCTCGGCCGCCTAAGTTTGAGTCTCAGTGCTAGCTCAACACCCCCAGGGTCAATGTGAGCCCCAGTGACTCAGCTGCCCTGCCTGTAAAATGAGCCCATGACAGTCTCTGCCCTCCCAGGTCACGATCCGGGAGAAACGAGGCTGAGGGAAAGGGCCTTGGTCTGGGATCTGACGGGCCAGGGCATCCCGAGGCCCTGCTATCAGCTCACAGGTGCTGGTGGGTGGGCCGGCAGGCGAGGGCATGTGGGAGAAGCCGGCAGGATAATTAGAGATCGGAGTTCAGGCAGGGGGCGATCAGGGAGTCGCCAAGGTGGAGCGTTGGCAAACACCAGGCTTCAAATTAAGCTCTGGGGAATGTGGCCACCACAGCCGCCTAGACTTGGGGAATCAAGACTGGGGGGGGGGGCCTTGAAACCACCAATTAGGCCTCAGCTGGGACGATCCCTCATTAGGGCTCAGGAACCTGGTCACCACCCTGGGGACAATGAGTTCTGGGAAGGCAGGGTTGGGGGCTCAGCTATCCCCCAACATCTTGCCCCTCTCTGGGCCTTGGTTTCCTCATCTGGGTAATGGAGATGACTTGGGACCTCCCAGAAATGGGCTGGGAGCTGGGTGGTCGAGGCTCAACAGAGGGCCAGCTGCCTGGCCTTTGTCTCCGCCCCTCCCAGCCAGCCAGGGCCAGACTGGCTGGCCCGCATTCCTGCAATGATTTATAGTGGCCAGGGAGGCCGCTTTCCCCAGCCCTCAGCTGCCCGAGGGCCATGGGGCCTGCAGGTGGACATGCTGGCAGCTAGAGTGGCCTGCAGGCGTGCACACACCCCTCCGTCCCCTGCCCCGTCCTCAGCTCTCCTTGTCCACAGAGCTGAGTGCTGTTAGACAAGACCCCTAGGGCCCATGCTGACCCTCTCTGGGGATACCCTCAATGCCCACTCCTTCCCTCCCCAGCACTTTTCGTCATCTGAACCAGGAGTTGACACATTTGTCTTGTTTCCTGTCTATCAGCCCCATTGGAAGGTCAGGGATTTCCGTCGATTTGCTCCCCGTGTGGCAGAAGCCAGCTGGGGGGCAGGTGCTGAAGGAATTCGTGAAGCTCAGCTTCGATGGCTCCGTGAACAGTTTGTAGGAACAGGCAGGGCCAAGCGTTAAAGCAGAGACCATGGCAGGGACGTCCCGGAGGGCAGCTGCCACCCAAGTCAGGGAGAATGTGGGCTGGGGCTATGGTGGGTAGGATGGTGGCCCCCTGGAGCCTTAGGGGGCCCTTGTGTGGAATCAGGGTCTCTGCAGATGGGGTCTCCAGATGAGCTCATCCTGGATTTAGGGGGGCCCTGAGGGACACTGAAGGAAGGTGGCCACGTGCCATAGAACAGGGACTGTAGTGAAGCAGCCACAAGGCCAGGAACGCCCGGGGCCACCACTAGCCAGGGGATGCCAGAAAGGGCCCCCAGACCCCCTGGAGGGCACTCTACCCACTGACACCCTGAATTCAGACTTCACCCTCCAGGCTGTCAGGCTATTAACATCTGTTGTTCTAAGAACCCCAGTGTGTGGGACTTTGTCACAGTGGTCCCAGGATGCTCAGCGACCAAGGAACCTCGGGCCCCTCCCAGAACAGGGGGCAGACCACCTCTGAGATCCTAACCCAGGTGGAGAGGGCACCGGACCCCTTTCCTGGGCCTACAAGGGACCTCACTGCCCCTCCCGCCTCAGTTTCCCCATCTGTCTGGAGAGGACCATCCTGGTAGGGAAACTGAGGCTCAGGGTGGTGAACAGCTGCTTCGTATGGGGGGCAAGGGGTAGCAAAAGTGGGCCGGTTCAGCAGGGGGCTCTAACCGCCTCCCGCCCCAGACCAAATGGTGGGCAGACAGGCGGTAAGAGCAAGAGCGTGATCAGGCTCCCGTGGGGCCGAGCATTGATGCAAGGCCATAAAGCAGCATTGATGCAGGGCCCCCAGCTCCGGGCGGAGGGGCAGGGGCGGCGCTAACGCTAACGACCATTAATGCAGCAGCCAACAAAGACGGGCAGTAAAGGCCACTGGCTTCATGGGGCTCTGCCCACACTTCCGCTCCCCTGCAGGGCAGGTCCGCCCTGGTCAGCCAGCTGGGGAGGGCCCGAGGTTGAGGCAGCTGGGACGGTGTCTAGGTCCTTTTGTGGTCCAAAGCTCAGAGCAGGCAGGAAACGCACCCAAAGTTGCACCACCAGGCCACAAAATATCCCACACCCAGCCCACACCTTAGTCCCCGCCTGGGTTCTCGGGGCTCCCCTCCCTAGATGGACTAGAAGGTGGAACCTGGCCTCAGAGCCTGCCCGCTGCCCCAGCCACAAACCAGGGCAAACCTCCGGAAACCCGTTGTCTTGGGTTGAGGTGGAGATAAGTCCTCTTCCCCCAAGCCCGATTTCCCCAGGGGGAGGGGCAAGTGCTGGGTCCTGGGGGAGGGGGGTGACTCCCGGGCCCCTCGTCTCCAGACTGCTTCAGAGATAAAGCCTCCCCTCCCTGGGGACCAGCGGTCCCACCCCATCCGCCCCCCAACCCTCCTGCAGTTTCTCAAACCTGCCAGGGATGGTCCCACCTCTGGGAACGGCTTCCCAGCTGTCAACTCTGTGGCCCTGGGAGGCGCCTCCGGGACCCCCCACGTCCTAGATCACGGACGCCCATCTCCAGCTAGCCCTTCTGAGCCCCACTTGCAGCCCTTTCTCTGGTCACGGACAATGTCCGGCCCCACGCCACCTGCCCTCCCTGGGACTCAGGGTCTCTGCGGATGGGGCCCTTAGCCTCTGAGCTGGCGTGCACTCTGTGTTTGTCTCTGTCTTTGACTGTCTGTCCCACTGGAATGCCAGGGATTTCTGTCAGGTTTGTTCCTGGTGTCTAGCGGTTGGCAGGCACTCCAAAACCAAACCTCTGGCCGTTGGTCAGTTCCTATAGGACAGAGTAGAACTGTCCCACAGGGTAGGCTGTAGGTCCTTATGGAAGCTGACCACCTCGTCTTTCTCCCATGGAGTGGCTGGTGCTTTCAAAGTGCCCACCTCTCATTTAGCAGCTGAGGGCTTCACCGCTATACTCAGGCCACCTGGTGAACACCGAATCAGTGGACTTGCGTTTTCTCAGCTGGAACATGGGGTGTGGGGACAGGGACACTTGTCGCCACCATTTAGGTCAAAATCTGAAGGGTGTCCCTTGATGCTAACCCTTTGGGTGAGCTCTATCAGGGCCACTTGGGGCTGTGGAGGGGCCTGGAGTCCAGCCGGGGCAGAGGCACCCAGCAGGTATCCATAAGCACACCTCGCCCTTGTCTGATTTCTACTTGGGAAGGTGTGTCCAGCTGCTGCCAGGCCTCCGTCTGACCCCTTGTCTCCCACCCCATGATGGGAGTACACGGATCACCAGGGCAGGCTCTGTGCCAGTGGCCCCCTCCCCGGCACGGCCCACTCCACAGAAGGCGCAGATGAAGCTGGGAGAGTGCCTCGGGGGACGGTAAACATGGGGGCCCTCTCTGAGCAGATTCCACAGAAGTCAGAATGTCCCTCAATCCGGACGCTGAGGCACCTTACCTCGGGCTCTGCCCCTGGCCCCAGCCCCGCTTCCCCCAGCCCCACCCAGCTAAAGCCCCCAGTGCTCCCAATGCCCTCCAGCTAAAGCCCTCATTCCCCCCAGGCCCATGCCCTCCCCATGCTCTGCACCTCACACCCTCTGTTCCAGCCACTCTTGACTCCAGGCCACTTCCTGAAGCAATCACACATCCCCTCCGGCTGTTCCCTCTGCCAGGAATGCTGTTCCCAGACCTCCACATGGCTCCGACCCCCCCAGTCCCCCTCGCTCTGGGTCCCTTCTTCCTGCCTCAGTTTCCCTCTCAGCTCCTGCTACTCGTGGGTTTGGTCAGTGGGCGGGGCAGGGACACACAGTAGGCTGCCAGGAAGTGTTCCCTGGATGAAGGCGGGACACCTGACACCAGCCCCTCCTGCTCTGGGTCGGATCTGGGTCCCAGGACCAGGACCAGGACCAGGTGGGAGAGGAAGCCCGGGGAGGCCCTGGCACCCTGCCCCGCCCCCCCACCGCCCCGCAGCTGGGTGAGGAGGAAGCAGATAAAGCAAAGCGGGAAGGTGCTCAGGTGGGGCCCACGGGGGTGGGGGGGGAGGAAGAGTGAGAACCAACCGGCCTCAAATGGGCAAA